TCAGTCCATAGCACAACAGGGCATCAGTTCAAAAGAGCAGAGTGTAGATAAGGTAGACCAACCCTCCCTTATCTCACAGGGTGGAAAGACAGGCGTGAGAAGAGTGAGCCATTTGTGTATAGCTATAGCAGGAACTGGTCAGAGCTGGAAATGAAAACTGAGTCTCTTTAAATCCAGCTTAGTGCATGAGCTACAAGACAGTCTACTTTTCCTGTGAAAGCATATATTTAGTAAGAGTGTCATTAAGAGTGTCTCAGGAACATACAGAAATACCTGCTGTGAGGTTTGTTTTTTCTGAAGGAGAGGGGGAAGAGGAGTGTTCCTAATACATAAGTCACATACAAATCAAAAATAATCAATAGTAAGATACAGGGGATGATGTATATTGAGAAATGGGGAAATGAAGATGTAGCACAAACGTGTGAAGTAGCCTCCTCTCAAATTAATGGCTTGCTTGATCTTAGATGGATCCCCAGTATTTCCCTTCAACCAGTTTGCATTCATAACACTTCTACCTTTATTCCCTGTTCTTCGATTTATTCCCAGTTCATGAATAGGAATGAATTTTGCCCTCACCCATCCACACATGCTCATTTCCTGCTGACTTCTACAAAATTTCCCTCTACTAATGGACTTGTTTCACAGCAGTTTCAAATCTGTCCAGAGGCAGCAAAAGAAAGAAAAAAAAAAAAATTGAGTGTAGAAACTTACCAGGCAAACACTTTTAACTGTTTTCTTGCTGTCAGGAATTATCGCGCCTGTAGGGGATGCAAAGGCCAATAAAAGCCTGGATACAGTAGGACTACAGCTGAAAGCATAGGGAAAAAAATAAACGTGTAAAGTATTATTGTATGCTACCAGAGATCCACTTCTCTGAGACTGTCAAAGCATTTTCACAAAGAGATGGAAGAGTGGAAAGGTTTATCCTGCTGTTTAATACAGAGAAGCCAAACAAAAAAAGATAGAGAACACAACTCAGCAAAAGAACATGCTTAATCCTATTAAAGTTAATGAGATTTCACCCTGGTCTCCACACACAAGTCGTATTGGGAGTTTAACTTAAGTGGATTTAAACCCAGATTTGGTTAAAGTGCTGCAAAGTCTCCCCAAGCCAAATAAAAATAAGTCCAACACAAATATACATGCAAAATTCAATTTCTCCCTCCTTTTTTTTCTTTTATAAAACAAATCTAAAACCAGTGCACCTTCTCCATCTGAAGGATGTGCTCAAGTGTTTTGCTGAACTATTGCATAAGCAGTTCTCCAGGCTGGCACCAACGCAGCTGGAGCTCAGGGAAGGCAATCCCAACACCGTCCTGACAGTCAGAGGCAAGAGGGTCATCATTACCAGAAGCAGTGATGGTTGTGAAGAGGACTTGTTGAATGTCTCAATAAATTAAAAAAATGGCCCTTGAACACAGACAACCTCCCCTTCCCTGTGTATTTAGGTAATAATGGAGGTGGCTATGGGGGCTTGGACACTCCATAGCCACGTCTGCAGAGCACGATTTAGTTGTCCTTTAGAGGACACAGCTCAACTGAGACTCCCCAAGCAAAGGTGACAGGAGCTGTGGTGATGGTCAGAGATAATCCAGGCATGCAACTGCAACCTGCACCAACTGCGCAGACCTAACTTCCTGCTCAAGTGGAGGACCCGGCTGGTTCCTCAAGCAGGTGCAAGATGTACAGATGGACTGTGGGTCCTGCCACATGCACTGGGGAACTGTCCAGCTGGCTGCATATAAGCAAGTACCCATATCCCTGGCTCTCTGCCCTCCATTCTTTTCTTCATACCACATTGTCCTACAAGAAAAAACAAACAAGTGCTCAACATGCTTTCCAAATGGTTGACAAGTTATTACGTAAACTGCGAGGAAAGGACATGTTGGAAAATCCAGGCTCACACGCTGTCATTCCAGAGATCTCACATTCTGCAAAGTGCATTTGAAGACTAGCTCTCCCACCACAGCGATGCAGCCATCGGGGACCGTGTTTCGGTCTCATCCTGTCTGACGACACTGTACAGCACCAACTCGGTGTCAGTGCAGTAGCACTCCTACCTCTCAGCACTGCAACCCAAGATCTGATCCTTGAGGCCAAGCCCACAACGGCAAAGAAAAACAAAGCCAGCAACGGCAATGGAAGACTGACAGAAGTTTTGGCACCTACACTGATCAACATTCAAAATTGCCCAGAGGAAACTTCATTTCAGTGATAACCACAATAACGGCACAGCCAAGCAATTAGCTAAATGTAGGGTTTCCACAAACACGCCTGAAGAACTAAAGCAACAAGGAAGCCAGACAGCACAACAGCAAGCAGCCAAGTGCTGCTCTACACACCAGCGAGGCAAGCGTGTTGTTCCACTGAGCATTAAAACCCACTTCTGCAGTTCTTGCCACTTGCTTTTGTTGGAGAAGTTGTTCTCAGGATCATGCAGCAATGTCCACGCAGACATTCCTTCAAGAAGGAGGCCCCCGTACCATGCTGGAGATACGTTGTCCTTTCCTGGATGAATTGCTGTACCACAGGCACCCTGGGTGCCCCACCTGCATGGTGACCTCCTTGGACTGCCAGCACTGAAAAGCTGGAGGAGCTGTGAACAACATTTCCAAAGTGCACAACCAGCTTCTGCCTTCACTCATTTTCAGCATCACTACTGTCCCTGCAGCACCAGCAGCATCCTTACACCCCAGGGGTCAACTCAAAAGCCTCACTGACTCCTCCAAGTCTAAGCTATAGAAAGGGAACCACAACTTCAGTCCAAGGGAGCAGAACTGACAGGAAGAACAAACGTGTTAAGTGCTTGCTACCATCCAGAGAGAAAGGGTTCAACTGCAGTTTACTCCACAGGAGTTCTTGGCTTCCCAGTCAACAAAGTCAACAGTCCTTTGCGAGTCCTTCCCAGACCCAGAGGGGCTGGGTATCACTGACAGGCAGGGTATGATGAAGGGTTACACCTGCAGGACAGGCTGGAAGCCAGGAAGGGAAGCCACCTTGCTGAGCCAGAGCACACAGTGTCAGATGGCATCCAGCAACAGTGCACACAGTAGGGATATTGCCCTCCTAGTCCTCTTAAGGGTAGGAGGAAAAAAGCCTCAAAGATCATCTAGTCTGGCTCCTGGTGCAGCATAAGCTGTGGCATTTCATCCAGCAATTACTGTGCTGGGGGTGGAGACCAGGGAAGGGTATCTCATCTACCACACAAATGAACTTTGTGCCAGCTCTTGCGTTTGTAGGAATGAACCCCCTCCTTCAGAAAGGCACCCGATCCCAATTTAAACACTTCAAAGGGCAAATGGCCAGCTGGCATGGATTGTCATTTCTCTGCAAGGGAGCTGTAGCAATGCACAGCAGCTGAGGATCTACATGCAAGTGCCAGTGAATTGGCTGCTTTTTCCTCCAGCTTTCCCAGTGCATAATTGCTCTTGCTATTAGAAGTTTGTATCAAACACAAAGCAACAATTAAAGGGCAAGGATAAATCTAAAACAGACATTAGCAGTGCCTGAACATGCTTATACATGTCTGGTGATGAGAGCAGAAACAGGCCAGAGCAGATGGATCTGAGCACGGCTGTTCAGCACACACATGCAGGCAATGCAGATGATCTCCATATGGAGATGAGGGCTGTGAGGAAATGCATGTGCATGACACCCAGCCACCCAGATGACTGCTCTGAGCCATAAGCCCAGCATCACTCAGAACATGCATGTCAGCCAGGATGAAGCAGCTACTGCGATACACCTGGTTTGTGGGTACACAGCAGAGCAACAAGTTCATTCCCCTTGCATCCAGGTCCCCGGTAATTTTTCACTGCAAATATGCTGGCATAAACTCTTGCTGGACATGCTTTACGGTGTTTTCAGTTTATAAAACTGCGTTCAAACTTGGATGATGATACATAGAACATGGACTCAGTTAACACTCTGTCAGAGCATAGGGAGACATCAGCAGAACTGTATACTAAAAGCTTCATGGAGAAAAGTTTTATCCACGCCTTAAAATAAAACAAAAACAAAACCAAAAAGAGGTAAGAAACTCTACCCAAACAAATCAATTCTTCATGGTTTCTCCAAGCAAAGTTTTGGACATTTCCAGCATGCACTGCTTTAAACAAAGATCTCCATTCCTTAAAGTCCCTGTGACAATTTCATTTAAAAATTTAGTCAGTCACATACAATTGAAAGAGTCAGATATTACTTTTGAAAGTAGCTACATTACCTAACCCTGTAATTCAGGCTATGAAGCCAGACATTTTTAAATACATTACCAGACCTTCAGCATGGATGTTTTTCACTACTGAAGCTTGAAATTTTGCTTGCAAATTACTCCCAGTAATTTGTCTGTGCCAGGAGACTTCCCTTAGAAGGCAGAGATGGCAGGTTGCATGGATGTGCCAATTAGAATTTCAATACGAGATAACCAGATGCAAAGCCTGTTTTCTGGCAGATGGGTTTATAAATCCAGCAGGGAATTTGCAATTAAAACAAAAAATAAAGATGTCTGCACCAACGCGTTAAGAGGTATGTAGTCTGGAATTTCCCCCAGAAAGTAATAAAGCAATACATGTGCTTATACATACATTTTATATATATATGTGTGTGTGTAAAAACTAGAATCAAGCAGCAAACATGCACAGCAAGTGCATTAATCTACTATAGACATGGAAGCTAATAAAAATGGATAGATTCCTTTTAAACTATCCATTACCATGTAATGGACTGCATTAACATATATAGTACTGGATGATTATGGTAGATAAGTAAGATTAATACAGAAATACATGCACTTTCTAGAGAGAGATACTGCATCAACATGCATCTTACAGCCTAGTTTTCAAGGCTACTGATCAGCCACAAACCCTCTGAGGCCTTTAAGGGCACCAAACACTCATTATGAGCGAGTTTACCTCACTCAACAAGGCTGCAACTTAGCTCAAGGCAGGGAGGATTAGTGTATCTATGGGTTTGTTCCTCCAGTAAGCAATCAGTTAACTCACTTTATCAGGAAACAGGAGTGCTGTTGCATGACCAAGCCTGGCAGGGATTCAGTCGGCTAACATGTAGGACATCAAGGCACCTGACTTGACAGGATCCTGAGACAGGATTTTTCTTTGCCAGTCCTAGAAGACAAAGTTTGGGAGACAGCAGAGGGGAAAGGTAAGGGATTCACTGAATCCACCAGGACATGATCTACTGCGACAGGATATCCCCACAGGATGCTGTATTTGAGAGCTTGGTCAAAGAACAGTATTTATTCTTCCTACCACTTACTGGATTCCAGCTGACACCTTGCTAACATTGCCCAGGGTACAGTTAAACCTACTGAAAACCTTTACTGAAGGTACGAGAAGATGAAGATTTCAGTAGAATACCACACAAAGCAGGATTCCATTGACAAAGGTATCTCAACCATACTCTCGACATTACCGAATAAATAAGACACAAGATATTTTTACATATCTGTAATGCCATGCGTAAGGGTGATCTGCCACAGACCCCATATTTCTGAAGTGGTCCATAGGGCCTAAAAATGTTACATTTGAGGCAGTGAATTACTTGCTGAGTCAATCAGCTCGCTTCCCCGCAGTGAAACGGAGTTTCCTCCACTCCCACCTCCCCAAGAACAACATCACCTGCGAGCACATCGCATCGCAGGAGAGCAACGGGCTAGCACAAAGCCATCACTGCCACGACTGCTAGAGCGGGGTTGCAACTTACTTGTAAATGTATTTACAACTCGCAAATTTATCTGCCACTTCTGCGGCAGTTTATGGGGACGGCTGCCGAGCCCCTGCTCCCCCGCTCCCAGGCCGCAGCCACCCGTCCTCGTCCCGCCCGCGGCCCGCAGCGGTTCAAACGGACACCCGCTCCAC